TTGTTCTTCTTTGATCTCAGTTCTCGGACAAGTTAAAGTACTTGTCCTCTGCAGATCTTCTCATCTATCCAACCTTTATCCGGTTCTACCTTCGAGTATTACCCTCTAGTATCTCGAGATTATCACGAAACTACATAACTTCTTGTGAGTTCTTCATCAACTATTATTTCTCGCCGATTCAAATTTTCCACGGGTTCTGAGTTGTTAGACACTCGAGAACACCGATAACTGATTTGAGTCTACACTTTCCTTTCCATTGTTTTGTTCAACCTTTCTGGGTAACCTATCATACCTAAGCAGTGATAATTCCTTGCTTATGTAAACACCTCGGTGTACAAACTCTGTCAGTAAGACCTTGTTACTATTGTTGATGACATTCCAGTAGCCACCGATGGACGAGAACCTTGCCTATTGGTCCGCCTCGTCTTAACGAGCAGGAAAATGGTTCTCTTCGTCCCTCGCCCTTGGTACCAACGTTGTTGCCAACATAACTGACAGGTTGTTCTCTGACCTGCCTTGCTATCATGACCGTGCAAAATGCAACGCCTTCTTGCTTTTAACCCACATGGTGGGCCCATAACCCACGGTTCCATAGGAACGAAACCTGACTCTCCTGTACATCTTTGTCTTCCTAAGTTGCTCCTCACGCTTGGCTTTGTATGTAATTCACGAGCCACCTTCTTGTGATCTGTTCTGCTATCAGATGCATCGATGCGCTGGACCCCTTTCACACTCTGTTTCAGACATCAAACGATTGTCCATCCGCTTGAAGCTTCTTATTGCTCCTCCTTACCTTGCTCTCGATGACTTTCTTGAATTTCAACTTGAGAGATGCCTCTATGCCATGTAGCGAGATAGCCCCCAGGTACCTATCTTGTGTTGAGCCTCGTCCTTTTCGAGTCTTTCCCCCTTACTCTACCCCTTAAATCTCGGGACGAGATTTCTTGTAGTGGAGGAGAATTGTGATGCCCGGATAATTAAGCTACAGTAATTCCTTGCTAATGGTGTCACGTCATCATGACTGCTGTTGTTAAACTTGCGTTGGTTCGAAACCGGTTCAAATTTCAAATTCAAATCAAAGTCCAAAATTCAAAATTTTCGAACATGAAAACTAAAATGTTGATCATGTGACAAATATTCACTTCTTATTTATGATGGTGAACCAACATTCTTTTTGTTTTCTTTTTGTAAAGTGTTTAGTGCACAAAAATAAAATAAAACAAAGTGCAAAATAAAAATAAAAATAGAAAAGGCCTCCCCTCCCCCGTGGACCTCGGCCCACACCCAGCCAGCCCACTCCGCGCCTCCCTGGCCTAGCCCAGCCCACTCCCCGTAGTCGTCCCCTTCCTCCCGTTCACCCGACCGAGGCGTTCGCCCGCACGGTCGCCGCCCAACCGCCTCGCCGAGGGGATAAGGCTGAGCCCCCTCCGGCCTCGTTAGCCCTCCCTCACCCCGCGCAGATATTCTTCCCTCCACCTCTCCCCTCTCAATGGCTCTCCCTCTCCCCTAGATCCCCTTCTCTCCCCCCTCACCGAACGCCATCGCCGCCGCGGCTCCATCATTTCCCCGGCCATCAGCGGCCCCGCGACCGCTGACTGCAACCGCAAGCTCCGCGCGTCCTCCCCTTCCCCTGATGCATTCGGTTGGAGTCGGGGTACCCCGTAGGTGCCACGTCGTCATCGTCCTCTCCTCCGGCCACCGCGCGACCGCGCCGTCGACCTGCTCCACCGGTTCTCCCCGCGCCCACTGCCCAGACCCTACGCTCTCACAGTGAGCTCCACCTCCCTCTCACCCTTTTCCTCGCTGTCGTTTTCGACCGCTAGTGCCCGATCCCGATTCACCCGAGCTCGCCACCCCGCAACCTCGTCGCCGGCAGCCGTTCGACGACCAAATGGTCATGCGCAGCTGCTCATCGTGCTCGCCCATGCGCGTAAATGCCTTCTGGCCTAGCCTTTTGGTTGAACGCGCCCGCTTTGCCGTTTTCCTCTCGCGACCGATTCCGGTCGTGCGCCGATGTGCTCGCCGCCATAGCTATGCTGCGTCCCCGGCCTCGCTACTGCCACCATCCGATGCGGCCCACCCTCAACTTTCCAACGCACCCGAAAACGCGGCAGATGGCCACTCGTACGCGAGATCCGGGCTCGCCGGAGTTGTCGCCACCGTTCGGCCTCGCCGGCGCACTCTGGCCGCCGAACTAACTCGAGCCGATGTGGCGACGCGGCCCCCACCACCCAGCCACTGAACCTGGTTCCCCCTTGGCCCGGTTGACCCAGCCAACGCTGACTTGGTTGGCCCTGTTTCCATGACATGTGGGTCCCACCCGGTAAAATGTTTTTTTAAATAACTAAATCAGTAAATGAATTAATTAGCTAATTAAATCACTAATTACTCACTGACCAGTAGGCTCCACCCTTAATTAATCCTAAATAGTTTATCTAAAACCTAATGAATCTACTGTGAGGCTGGCATGTGGGTCCCACTGGACCCACAGGTCAGGTTTGACCCCAGTCAACCGTCCTGTTGACTGCTGACATCACCTCTACGTCATGCTGACGTCATCCACTACTGTTCTGATTAATGTTGAATTAGATAATAAAATAAATGCGAGCAAATGTCTAAAAACCTTTGAAAATTCATAGAAAAATAACCGTAGTTCGGATGAAAAAGTTTTCTACATGAAAGTTGCTCAGAACGATGAGACGAATCTGAATACGCGATCCATTCGTCCGCCACACGTCCCTAGCATAACAAATGTTGAACTTTTCCCCTCCGGTTCATCTGTCTGACAGATGTCCGGAACCGGGAAAACCTTCCCGGATGATTCCCCCTTCGCCAGTATCACCTAGCGCCGCGTTAGAACACCTCTAGCATCACTTATTATATTGTTGTGCTTATGTTTGCGTGTATTTACTGTTTCTTCCCCCTCTTCTCTCCGGTAGACCCCGAGACTGCCGCTGATGCCGCTGTGATCAACTACGTCGACGACGAGCCCTTCTTCTTGTCTGAGCAACCAGGCAAGCCCCTCCTTTGATCATCCCAATATCGCCCATTCTATACTCTCATGATTGCATTAGATTTTGCTACTGTTATTGTTTGCTCCTATTCTGATGCATAGCCTGCTTTTGTAACCTGCTCATTGTACCTTACCTTCTTATCCTAAACTGCTTAGTATAGGTTGGTTAGTGATCCATCAGTGACCCCCAGTATTTTTCCTTGTTGCCCCTGCTTCATCATCGACGACTCGATCGACATGATCGACGACCAGAGCCCGACACCTCACATCAAATCACGCCCCTTTAGTTGCTCGACTCTGCAGAGCTACTATCGAGTGTCGAGGGTGATCCCTCATAACGCACTCCCGATGTCAATTCTATAGTTTAGCTATTCGGTCATGGTCATCCAAGGTGATTTCCTCTTTCACCATTCCCGATACGGCTCAGTCGTTCAACACCTCAAGCGTGAACCTCGAGGGTGGTCCCTCTTACGTTCACCTTGATGATTACATTGAGTGGAATCCTCGGTGGGTGATTCCTCGGGTTTTCCCCTTGATGTTTGGACACACAGTTACCTTGACTTTCCTTGAGACCTTGGTGGAAGTCGGGCGGCCCCGGAGAGCACCCGCAAGATTATGACGTGGCACGGCCGGGCATTCTGAGCCCTTGTCATAAGTCCACGAGACGGGGCGACGGGGTCACTTTCAATTGTGAGTCTCTGCTCGTCTCCGCAAGTTAATAATACACTATGGTTTGGGTATTTGTTCTGAGTTGGCCTCTGGCCTTTACGCACTAACCACCACGCGAGAATAGATATGGGCCTCGACGTCGCCGTATCAGCCGAAGCTTTGTCAGACGTCCAGTTCAGCATTGTGTCCGGGCCGGATCGTGCCATCCACTTCTCGGGTGGTGCTGGTATCCCCTTGCGCACAACGATCTGGAGTGCAACGGGCGATGGGCCCAGACCCCGGAGTGCTTAGGATGTAGACCGGCGGTGACCTCTCTGCTGAGCCTAGGTCGGGCGGCGACGTGTTGATCTTCCGAGGGCGGGCATTGACCCTAGAAAGGTGTGTCCGGCCAGAGTGATCGAGCGTGTTGGAAAACGTGGTGCACCCATGCAGGGAAGATTATCTATTAATAGCCGTGTCCATGGTAACAGATGTTCAGACTTATATCCTAATCTTATACAACTACAAATGGATACTTGAGATATGTGGCTCCGGGATTGCTTTCTCGCAGGGAGTCGAGGAAGGATCTCTGGACCTTAATGTTACAACATGCTTGTTAAATATAAACTGCTATTCTTTACTCTTCTACATGCTGCAAGATGCTCAGAGCTGCGTGAAGATGCTAGTCTTCGATAGGCTAGGCTTTCCCCCTCTATTCTGGCATTCTGCAGTTCAGTCCATAGATACAACCCTTCCATTTTATACAAATGCATACTTAGTATAGATCTGATGCTTGCGAGTACTTTGGATGAGTACTCACGGTTGCTTTGCTACCCCTTTTTTCCACTTCGTTCTTCTTTCCGGTTGATGCAACCAGATGGTGAACCCTTGGAGCTAAATGCCACCGCTGATGGATGCTACTACGTGGAGGCCGTCGACGACCAAGAGTAGTTAGGAGGTCCCAGGCAGGAGGCCTTGCCTCTTCGATCGTGTTGCTTTTGTGCTAGCCTTCTTAAGGCATCCTTGTTTAACTTATGTCTGTGCTTAGATATTGTTGCTTCCGCTGACTCTTGTATATCGAGCTATGTATTTGAGCCCTCGAGGCCCCTGGCTTGTAATATAAAGCTTGTATTATTTTATTTGTGTCTAGAGTTATGTTGTGATATTTTCCCGTGAGTCCCTGATCTTGATCGTACATATTTGCATGTATGATTGGTGTACGGTCGAATCGGGGTCGTCACATAGACGCACGCTGGGCAAGTGGCAGCCGATTCGGCGGGATCCTCGGAACGTGCGTGCAGGTATTTGTTGCTAATCAATGTACGTGCGCGCGGGGTGCCTACACGTGCAGGTACATGTCGATCTGGAGCACGGCGTTGTTGGTGGTGGCGTTGTACGTATTCGTCCGAAGCAGGCCGTATCCAGCAGCCCCTCGGAAGGCGCCGGTGCCGCCGACAACCGGCAGCTCCCTGACGGTGTCGAGGATGGCGTCCCTGGCGAACACGGCGACGGTGCTGCCGTTGTGCTTCCCCGCCGTGAAGAGCATGTTGGCGCTGAGCAGCAGCGCGACGTCCGTCTGCGACGCGAAGAGGTAGAACCCCTGCGCCCTCCCGATGACCGGCGACGCCGCGCCGGGCCCCTCGGTGAGAGCGTCGTCGATGGTGTACATGTCGCCGAAGCGGTTGGTGGGGTCGTTGGGCAGCGGCGTCAGGCCCCTGACGACGCGCACCGCCGTGGCCGCGCTCGGCGCCACCGCCGTCACGATGTCGTGCATGTAGAAGCGGAGGTGCGTCGTGGCTGGAGCCACCGCGGCGACGAGCGCCAGAGAGGCCAGTGCCATCAGCTGCACGCTGTGGTGGATGGCCATGGCGCGCAAGTACTGGCCGACTTACGCGCCGTTCCAAGGTGTATAAGAATTGCATGGCGTAGGTAGGTGAGATCGAGATGTTTTGTAGAAAGTGCTCTTCATCGTGACAGGTTGGTGCGCGAGCGGGGCCGATGGTTCTCGAAGCATGAGATGCCCGGGTGGACAGGATCGATCCATTGATCCATGAGATACTTTTGCGTGCATGTGCGGCCAGCTGTTCTGGCTGATAGGATTGAGCAACTGCACTGCACAGTGTCAAGTCCAAATCGGAGTTCGGTAGGAGTACGTGCTCAATTGTGAAGTTGGACCGCTCGATCTGCGTCAGCATGTCGCCATAATAGCGTCAGATACTTCTGGGGAAAACACGCATTTAGGCACTGTTTGATGGCAAAATATTTTCTATGTATCTGCTGCTCCCTTACGGTGGGATGAATATTTTTTTGAGTTGTTGATTGTTTTTTGAGATAACTATCCACTTATTTCAAGCCATGTGGAATGAAATATGGAAGATATGATATAGTCAGAACCGGATAAATATAGTGTGGGTAGGGCATGTATAATTTTTTTTACTGAACCTCAAAAACCAGTTGAACAATAATACAGGAAACACGATCACACTAATACTCCCTCCGTCCCATAACATAAGATCGTTTGCAAGCTATAATTGTTAGAAGAAATAAGGATGAGTGTTTGCGAGCGGGTGTAGAGGATGAGAGGGTGAACCAAAAGCTCATAGATCGCGAACTTAACTAGCACTCGATAGCTCACGAGCTTAACGAGCATTCAATAGCTCGGCTCGTTAAACTCACGTACACTTCTTAATGAACATAGCCAATCATTGATCTCAGCTTGTTAAGCTTGATAAACAAGCTAATAAATTTCACGAGCAGCTCGTTTTAGATCATTAGTGAAACACAACAAATATTTTTATTTAACTTGACAAGTTTTTAAGCTTAATAAGCTTAACGAGGCGAGCCTTAACTTTCACGAGCTTAACAAGTCGAGCAACTCATTAATACACTCATTTGAGTGGGAGGTGTGCATTGTGTGTTATGTTATGCTCCAAATTCAAGTACGAAGAAAAAGGCTAATTTCTGACGAGCGAGCGGAGTGAGGCCCGTCGCCCGTAGGCTTGGACCGAAGCGGAGCGTAGCGAATGGTGTATTAACGAGTGTGGTTGCAAATGGTGTCGCCCTGGCTGTTCGAGACGTGCTTCCTAACACATGTGGTATTTAGACTTGCTAGTAAGTGTTGTCTAAGGGCCTCTGTATAATTTTCCAGACAACCACTGTCGTCCTTCCTCCCTCGCCCCCTGCGCCGCCCCCCATTCGGGTGACTCGGGCGGGGACAAAACCCTAGCCGCCGGTGTCAGCGTCCTGGGAACGGGGGTCCCCAGACTTGCCTGTCTGCGGCCTGCGACGTGGCTCAAGTGGTGGCCCAGTACGGCCCATCTTCATCAACACAACTCAAGACCCTCGCGAGGGGCCAAGCCTCGCGGGGTGAACGACGCAAGGCTTCCTCAGGAGCGACCTCACCAGGCAGGCTCGCGAGGAGGCGGAGAGATCAAGGCAAGGGTACCTCGCGAGGTGCCCGTGATGCAAGCCATGACGATCGAGACCAGGCGGGCGCCAGGCGGGCGCCGGCCCGTGCAGTGTCCTTGTTTCCTCTTTGGTGCAAAGGGGGAAAGCACATGCATGGGGTACCGAGGCATCAGGCAAAGGTTACCATTTCGGTGCAACGAGACCATGACTAGTAGAGCGGTAGGATGGAGGTCACCATGGAGCCCAAGACGGCGTCATCGCCAGTGCGTTTGGCAGCCGAAGACCAACTTTAGTCAGGATAACTTGTACTAGATGTTCCCCTTTGAAATGGCCGTTGTTGGCTCCCTTCCCGCTCAATATTTGGGAAGAGGACCATGCCTCTATAAATTGGGATAGCCACCACAGTAGAGGAAGATCGAATCCTTCCCTACGAGAACACCACATCAGCTCAAGAACACCTCTCGCGAGGTTGTTCTTCCCCTGTACTGTTCATCATCAGCCCCCGAGGCAATCCACCACACCACACACTGGAGTAGGGTATTACACCACAACGGTGGCCCAAACTAGTATAAATCTCGTGTCCCTCGTGCTGTTCATCGATTTAGCTTAGATTCTCGCGAGGCGATTGGACGTGGATTGGTAGGGGGAAGATCTTCGTGCGCAACCCAGAGTTCGAACCTCAAGGGTCTGCCGGAACCCCAGATCCGACATTTGGCGCGCCAGGTAGGGGTGCACCGAAGCTCTCCCTTCCGTCGACCCGCTCTCCATCAGCACCGCGCTCCGCCCTCATGGCGGGCAACGCGCCGCCTGCTCCGGCTGTCGATGCCGGCGCGGGGACCAGAGGGCTCCGAGCCCTGGTCCCCGCCTTGCAACAAGTGCAGTGGCCGAACAAGTTCAAGTGAGACATGCCGCCGCAATACGATGACACGGCTGATCCGCTGGTTTTCCTGTTGGCATATGAGGAGGCCGTCCTCGAGGCTGGGGGCGACGACAGGGTCATGGCTAACTGGCTGCCCATGGCCCTCACTGGCGTCTCGCGCATGTGGTTGCTCCACGTGCCAGAGGCTTCTGTGGCCTCCTGGGAGGAGTTGCGCAGCCTCTTCCTCGCCCATTATGCTGCGCCGGCGCCCCCGATCGTCGCAGCTCTCCTGGGCGGCTCGCAGGCGCCTATGGTGAAGGTGGCGCCAGAGGATCCATCTTCACCGACTGGTACTTGCTTGGTCTCCGCCTTGAACAGGAAGAGGCCTTGGTGAAATTTCTGCGCGTAAACAAGGAGGTGTTTGCGTGGGAACCTGATCAGCTAGCAGGGGTTCCAAGAGAGGTGATTGAGCATCATCTGAATGTGTGCCCCAACGTGCGTCCCATGAAGCAGAAGGCAAGGCGACAGTCCACCGAGAAGCAGGCCTTCATCGTCCAAGAAACCCGCAAGTTGGAGGCTGCAGGTGTCATTCGCGAAGTTCGCTATCCTGAATGGCTGGCCAACCCTGTTGTTGTGCCAAAAAAGGGAGGAAAGGAGCGCATGTGCGTCGACTTCACCAACCTCAACAAGGCCTGCCCCTAGGATCCATTCTCGCTCCCTCGCATCGACCAAATCGTCGATTCCACCGCCGAGTGCGACCTGTTGTGCTTCCTGGATGCCTTCTCGGGCTATCACCAAATCAAGGTGGTGGTAGAAGATGTGGAGAAAATGGCCTTTCCTGACCCCGTGCGGAGTATATTGCTATACCTGCATGCCGTTCGGATTGCGCAACGCGGGTGCAACCTTTCAGCGACTGATGCACATCGCCTTGGGCCGGTAGCTCGGAAGAAACGCCGAGGCCTACGTCGACGACATCGTGGTGAAGTCTCTGGAGGCGAAGACCCTGATACAGGACCTGGAAGAAACCTTCGCGAACCTTCGCAAAGTGGACCTGCGGCTTAACCCGGAGAAGTGCATGTTCGGAGTCCCTTATGGCTAGCTTTTGGGCTTCCTCGTGTCCCACAGAGGTATCGAGGCTAACCCAGAGAAGGTCAAGGCAGTTGAAGACATGAGTCCGCCGAAGACCCTCAGAGAAATATAGAAGCTCACCGGGCGAGTAACCACGTTGGGACGCTTTATCTCTAAGCTGGGAGAACGAGCCCTGCCCTTCTTCAAGCTGATGAAGAAGAAGGGCCCGTTCGAATGGACTGAAGAGGCCGACAAAGCATTCCAAGATCTCAAGAAGTACCTGACCAGCCCTTCGGTGATGGTGGCTCCACGCCCTCAGGAGCCCTTGGTACTCTACCTTGCAGCCACACCCTACTCCGCCAGCGCAACCCTGGTGGCGGTTCGGGAGGAGCGCCGGGTCAAGACCGCATCGGTCGCGACCCCGACCGCAGCAGCACAAGGCCAAGAAGAGCTCGCGAAGACCACGGCCGCAGCAGATGGGAATCCACCTCAGCAGGGGGACGCACCCAGGGCGAAAGTGTTGGAAATATGCCCTAGAGGCAATAATAAAATGCTTAATATTATATTTCCTTGTTCATGATAATTGTCTATTGTTCATGCTATAATTGTGTTATCCGGAAATCGTAATACATGTGTGAATACATAGACCACAACATGTCCCTAGTGAGCCTCTAGTTGACTAGCTCGTTGATCAACAGATAGTCATGGTTTCCTGACTATGGACATTGGATTTCATTGATAACGGGATCACATCATTAGGAGAATGATGTGATGGACAAGACCCAATCCTAAGCATAGCACAAGATCGTGTAGTTTGTTTGCTAGAGCTTTTCCAATGTCAAGTATCATTTCCTTAGACCATGAGATCGTGTAACTCCCGGATGCCGTAGGAGTGCTTTGGGTGTACCAAACGTCACAACGTAACTGGGTGACTATAAAGGTATACTATAGGTATCCCCGAAAGTATCTGTTGGGTTGACACGGATCGAGACTGGGATTTGTCACTCCGTATGACGGAGAGGTATCTCTGGGCCCACTCGGTAATGCATCATCATAATGAGCTCAATGTGACCAAGTGTTTGGTCATGGGATCATGTATTATGGTACGAGTAAAGTGACTTGCCGGTAACGAGATTGAACGAGGTATTGAGATACCGATGATCGAATCTCGGGCAACTAACGTATCGATTGACAAAGGGAATTGTATATGGGATTACCTGAATCCTTGACATCGTGGTTCATTCGATGAGATCATCATGGAACATGTGGGAGCCAACATGGGTATCCAGATCCTGCTGTTGGTTATTGGCCGGAGAGCTGTCTCAATCATGTCTGCATGATTCCCGAACCCATAGGGTCTACACACTTAAGGTTCGGTGATGCTAGGGTTGTAGAGATATTAGTATGCGGTAACCCAAAAGTTGTTCGGAGTCCCGGATGAGATCCCGGATGTCACGAGGAGTTCCGGAATGGTCCGAAGGTGAAGATTTGTATATAGGAAGTCCAGTTTCGGCCACCGGGAAAGTTTCGGG